AGGGGGGAGGGGTTGGGGGAATAAGGTGGATAAGATTAAAAAAGAGTTCTGAAAAATATTTTCTCTAGTCTTGTTAGGGAAAATATTTTCTTCTAATTGGAGAAAAATGAATTCATAAGGAAAATATTCTCAAAAATATTTAAATCAATCAAACATGAAAAATAAATATACCCTTGAACTCATACTTATCATATGACTAGGTATATTCGAGTCATGTAATACACGATTTTGTAAAATAATATTGATATTATTAAAGAAAATATTTGAGTAAATAATTATACATGGCATAATAAAGTATATGTGAATGATTAATGTTAATATCATATAGTACTTTGTTTGTCTACGTTAAAATGATTGGATCGTCTGAACCTACGAAGATAACCAATTAATATTTAATTATATACATGTGATTTTCAGCAAAATCTTCCTATAAAGTAATAATTATATAATATAGTTATATTTTAAAATTAATAATTGCATAAATTACACTATCTTATTTATATAGTATAAAAACTAATATCTTTTATGAAAAATTATATAATTTTAATTTACCTTTTATTTGTGACTATTATCTCTCTTCTCCTACTTCATCCTTCTCCAATAAGTAATTTCTTTGTTACTAATATGAAAATTACATATGAAAACTATGAGATTAATATAATGATAAGTATAAAGTAGTTATGGTAAAAAATAATTCATAAATGTCTATAAAGAATTACCACAAAATAGTGTCGTCACTAAATTTTTCGCCTCTTCCAAGGATAAGCCATTTGAATCTTTTTAATTGTGAATGTTATTGTCAAATTTCTTTATAAATGTATTGTTGGTAAAAGTCATTTCGACTTCTCTGTGCACTATGTGGATATGATTAACATGACTTAATTGACTAGTAATAATATTACATCTCTTATTTGATTCAAAAAAGTCGTTATGTTATTCTCGACAACTTAGAGAAGAATATAAAACAATGAAAAATTTCATTCAGTTGGCATGATAATTAGTCTTATGGAAAGGCGTATGGTCATTTTTTGGTTCATATTGAATATGTCGTTATCAAACCATATGTCAATCGTGACGTGCATGGTAGATGACAATTTTTAATGAGAGTCATTGTATTTTTGGTTCCTTTAATCTATGATAGCTATTAAAACATAGAAAAATTTTAAGGTCTCGAAATTCTCTATTCCTTTGTTTTTGTCACGACCCAAAATCTCACTCGTCGTGATAGCGCCTATCTCAATACTAGGCAAGCCGAAAATCTCAATAAACCACAATTTCTCTCAACATTGAAAATATAATATTTAAATACAATACAAACACTCCTCAAAACCTGGTGTCACTGAGTACATGTGCATCTAATATGAATACAAGTCTGGAAAATATTATCTATAATAGTCTGAGACCAAATATGGTAAACAAAGAGATAGAGAGGGAGAGACAAGGTCTGCGGAACACGGCAGCTACCTCAAAATCTCCTGAAAATCAACAGCGCGAAAGGATCAACACCCGCTATGTCCGGGAATACCTGGATCTNTTTCTCTCAAGATTGAAAATATAATATTTAAATACAATACAAACACTCCTCAAAACCTGGTGTCACTGAGTACATGTGCATCTAATATGAATACAAGTCTGGAAAATATTATCTATAATAGTCTGAGACCAAATATGGTAAACAAAGAGATAGAGAGGGAGAGACAAGGTCTGCGGAACACGGCAGCTACCTCAAAATCTCCTGAAAATCAACAGCGCGAAAGGATCAACACCCGCTATGTCTGGGAATACCTGGATCTACACACGAAGTGCAGGGTGTAGTATGAGTACAACCAACTCAGCAAGTAATAATAATAAATAAGGAACTGAAGATAGTAACGAGCTACACATATATGGTTCATTTCGAGTAATTCCAGCCAAGAATAGACATGCTATCAAATCTGGCAGATTAATGTCAAATCAATTTTTATACAGTTTCTGTTCATGTAATCTGTATATCAACAATCTTTTAGAGACTTTCCAACAATGACAGATAGCAACTAAGTGCAACAACAAATGGAAATCAAGTACAACCTCTTAGGACAACAATCACTCACTGGGCTCCCAGCCCTCATCACTCTCTCAATGGGTACCCGCGCTCACTGGGGGGTGTACAGACTCCGGAGGGGCTCCTACAGCCCAAGCGCTATAATCTGCACAGACAACTCACGTGCCATAATATAAATATCTGAATCCGCACGGCCAACTCACGTGTTGCACGGCCAACTCACGTGCTATAGTATAATATAAAGATCTGCACGGCCAACTCACATGCTATAGTATAATATAAGGATCTACACAGCAAACTCACGTGCTATAGTATCAATATCTCACAATCAGGCCCTTGGCCTCACTCAGTCATAAATCTCTCCAGTCTCTCGGGCTCTCAATAATCATGAAATCAGTCCAAACAACAATGATATGATGTATCAATAATAATAACAAAGATTGAGATAAAATGTGCAAGTAAAAACTGAGACCGAGTACATATAGCATTTAGCAGGCAATTCAACAAGTACGCGACCTCTGTGGGTCCCAACAGTACTATCACATAGCCTAAGCATGATTTCTAACATGATTTACAGTCAAATTTTATCAACACATAGAGAGCATATAGCTAACAACAAATTATTCAACTTTACAACTTTTCGGGACGGACCATGTCACAATCCCCTAAGTGCACGCCCACACGCTCGTCACCTAGCATGTGCGTCACCTCCAAAATAATCACATGATACCAAAATCTGGGGTTTAATACCCTCAGGACCAGATTTAAAATTGTTACTTGCCTCAAGCTGTGAAATTATTATTCCGCAATTTCCTTTCCTCTTGAATTGGTCTCCAAACACCTCGAATCTTGTCATAAATAATTCGTTTCAGTCAATAAAATTCATTGGAATTCCATTAGAAAATAATGATTTTCCATAAAAATCTGAAAATTAGCTCAAAAATCGCTTGTGGGACCCACATCTCGGAACTCGACAAAAGTTATAAAATTCGGAAACCCATTAAACCACGAATCTAACCATATCAATTTTACC